TGTTTTCATCCATTTTTTCAGGAAAACTATACCAAGCACCAACACAGCATTTTCAAATGAATTGTGAATTTTTTTCTACATCCATGATTGTCAGTATAAGAAATAACTATCAAATTATTAAGTATCACACATAACAATTCCCATTAGAATACTGAAAGAATTATTCATTTTATGGCACACCCACTGAAATCCTGCAGCTGTGTTTATATATTAATCAAAAAAATATTTTATTTATTATTATAAATTATTACATAACTTGAAAAAATTACAATACACATAGTTTAGAGCAAAATAATCAAATACAGCCATTCCTTATTTAATATCAGTTTCATTGCATATTGATTATAAATCTTCAGTTTACTGTTGCAGTTTATTGTGATTCAATATTGCACCTATCTATGATGGAAAAAACTGCAAGCAGCATAAGTAAATCTTAAAGCTCATACAGTAGTTGCAAACAAACTGCAATGTCAAATGCATTTGTATTGCTGTTTATTTCTGTTTCAAAGGAAATGCTGATTACATTCCATTTGAAATTAAAGAAGTTTATTTACTTTTCTAATTTTAGAAAGGGGAAAGATCATTTAGCAACAGTGAAAGGTGTACATGAGACAAAAAAGGTTAAGAAACACTAACTAAGGAGAAGGGATGATACCTTCATGGAAGTCTTTCTCAGAGAAAACAGTTAGTATTCATGTTACATATAGAGATAACCATAATCAAACTAAATGAAAATTAAGAAGTTTAGCTTATACTTAGCTCCCCCCTCCAAATACATGTATCAAAAACAGAGAAATTAACATACAGCCATGGCAGAGTAAAAATAAAAGATTCTTCTTTAGAGCACTTTATATTTTTATTTATGGAATATTTGAATGACTTGAAACTAAACATGATGATTTAAACAATAATATAAAAGAAAATGAAAGAAAAAAGAATGCATACTGAAGAGTTGAGAATGAAAACTGTACTTTTCTAAGTGATAATAACTAAGAATTAACTTTGTTAAAGTTAATCTAATATAGAAACTTAATGTACAATAAGTAAATTAAGTATAAAGCAAGTTAATGAAGTTGCTCTGTATTAAAAGCCAACAATACTATTTATTATAAAAGTTACCAAAAGCAAGCTTTTCAGTTTTGCCATAAAATAAACATGACAAAATTTTGGGTCTATCAATTTTAAATATTTATAGTCATATGTCAGTATGTAGATTGAAAATTACAATTTTAATTAAATACTATTTTACTTTAACCGCAATCAGTATAAACTGTATGATCACCTGGACATATATTTCTGGGAAAAAAAAAAAAAAAAACTTAAGCACATCAAAGAATTCTGACATACTTTAATTTAGTATTTCTGAAGTGTGAATCATACTTCAGAAATGGGTTGGGATACAATTAATGTCTGAAAGTCATTAAAAGTTTTGAGTTTTTCTTTTTTTAACTACATAATTTTTTTTCTTTAAAAATTACATTTAATGTTTTTTAAATAAATGAATGAATTGTAAGCATAAAAGGTGCTATCCTATCTGGCCTCCGTTCAAATACCTTAACTGTCTACTCAGGAAGTGATTTATATAGCACCTATCATGATGTGTTTTCATGTAAACTTTAGTTTCTTGTTAACTGCTCTATTTAGGTGAGCAGCAGGCATGTCATTGTATAGATATTGTTAATGTTTCAGTGAGTAATATGTATGATTATTTCCACTCAATTACTGTAAATTCAACATGCGAAAAATGTTTATTGGTGAAATGAGTGAAAAACAAAAAACAACATCATAACAAGATAACAAAAAATGAAAACCCTATGATGTTTAAACAGGCGCACCAGCGGCCGAACAATAAGTTGCTAAACACTGATAGTTCGATTCAGGATTGGAATCCTGGTGAACACACTGGCTACATGGACGTTTTCATGATTTTCCCATACATAACATGTATACAAGCTAGTTTCTTTTGGAAAGTCCTCAATGAAGGCATCTCTCCCCTTAGGCAGACAGCCCTTGAATGCTTTGCCATAATTAAACAAACCATATCAATGATGTTTAAAAAAATGGTGGAGAAGTAAAATATATCTATGACAAACTTCAGGTAAGAAAAGTAAGGCAAATCTATTCAAAATTTTTGTATACAGTTGAATCAAAAATCCTACAAATGAGTTACCCGATGATGCTTTATGGAAATGGCTTTACCAAGAATGTCAAAGGGAAAAGTAAGTAAGCTGCTCAATTTTGAAACTGAAGGCATTTATGCTACATACAAAATTTTAAAATGAAGGTAACTTATTGATACTTGTACCATTGAGTAACTGCTAGAGAATTCATTTTATAAAGGTCTGTAAGGGGGGCAGAATCTCAAAATTTCCAGATTTTATAGTATATCCAAAGGGGCTGTTTTTAACATTTTATGTGTCACCTTTATTTATTAAATATCATGTTCGTTGCACTTAAAACACAAAATTCAATTTAACAGTGATATCACAAAATAATTTAAAAAGATCATATCTTTAGAATTTTCGATACACAGCCTCATGGTGCTTGGAGATAACTTTTTTTTTTGGGGGGGGTACGGTCTTGCTACTGCTCGCTTTGAAATCACTGTGGTTCTTAATCAAAAGATGATAAATGCTTTACAAAATACAAAATAGATAATGAAGCAAATTCCAAATTTGGCCTTCCAGATGCTCATATTCGGGTGAAGACGTATGTTAATCAAAATTTGATGTACAATTGTTTTTATCACATTGCAAGAAATACGTTTATCACATTGTTTTTATCACATTGCGAGAAACATACATATGCAAATTCTTCATTATTTAATTTCTTTTTAGTATGGGCTGACAATATTTGGTAGCAACAATTTCAAAAGTGACAATGTTTTTTGTGATTCAACGCAAAATTACACTTTGATATAATACAGGGCGATAATATTTTGTGACAACAATTTGAAAAGTAAAACATCACATAATGTCAAAACGAAATTAACAGCTGTTCTAGGCTTAAAAAAAGTTGAGATCACATTAAAGAAAAAGATTTATACACACAGAAAGTTCATGCTATTAAACATAGACTTGCTCTCAAGCTGACCATTTTTCCTTCTTTTTATTACTACTAAGGAAATTTCAGCCTCTAGATTCAAGTTACGCAAAGATAAAATAAGTACTGCATTTTGTTCTACTACTGCCACAGGAACAAACTTCACATGTTTAAGAATATGGTCATCAGTGCTTTAGTATGCATTAGTGCTTAATATGATACAGAAATCAGTTTGGTTGCAGATCTATTAGTCTAAAGAATAGCTTCTGACAGATGACTAGAATGTGAAGGGAAGGACGATCTAAAGCTTTTTTTCCCCTTGGCTTCAAACAATACACAGTCAAAAGTTGTTAATCCGGGCTCATCCGGACTTTGGCGATTCCAGATTATAGATCATCAGTTAAATCTGGTAAGATGGCATGCAGATATTCTAAAATTAAAAATATGAAACCGTAATTTATGAAATAAAGAACAATTATGATCTAAAGGGTATCAAAATTTATAAAAAAAAAAGCTTAATATTTATTTGTTTAATTTATCAAACATTTCTTTCAATGTAAGTTGTTTAAGTTGCTTCGTTTTATGTGATAATACTTTCTCTTTAATTCTATAAACAGACATAATTTCTTGTTCAGTTACAAAGTTCCGCTGTTCCAGTCCTACAAGTGCTGTGTCGAGAATACCGACTAATTTGTCAATCGAAATTTTTTCATTTTCAATAACCTCTGTGTCACTTTCTTCACTATCGGAAGCGAAGCAAATTATAATGACGAGGAATTTGATTTAAATCATATCAAAGACGGAGTACATCGAGATGAAATACTTAATTTAGTAAGGAATTATAAGACTAAAAACATCTGCCCTGAAGATAAGGATAGTGCTGACAGATCAACTTAAAATTCAATGCGCGCCGCAACGTCCCTCCCCCCTGCAGAGCAGCATGAAATTCATAAACAGATTTCGGAATGGTTAGAGAAACAAAGGCCTTTATACATTTTTTGCAGCAATTCCACTTTTTGTTTGATGGACATTGAAACATACTTTCGCTTTGTAGATCCTTTGGGAGCTCCAGCATCGGAAATTCTATTTGACATAATCGAAAGTTCAAGCTTATTTTTATAAAATTGCTCTAACAGTCTGCAAAAAATAATAAGCCAGATCCAATTCGAAGATTAAGGAACAACACAATCTGCAACATTAACTGAAATAGATAATTAGATAATTTTAGCTTATGTCGTCCGTTATACATTAAACGCGCATGTGCACACACACACATGCGCAGCTGTAAAGGTCTTACGCGCATGTGTAAACGCCTATGTACATGCGTCAATGCGACACATGCGCAGAAAGTTTGTAGCTTTGAGGTCCGGATTGTAGATTGTTCTGGATTATGGGTGCTCGAATTAACAACTTTTGTTGTCAACTATGGAGTTGAGGGGAGGGTGCAGAGAAAAACTGTCTACAGCACTACAAATACAAGGTGGGGGGGGGAAAGAAAATTGCTTGGAGCTTGAAGACATTAGATCTGTTACTATCCTGAAAACCAAAACACTTAGGACCTTAGTTCCCAAAGTGGTCCAGGTGGACTCCCCAGGGGTTCATGGGAGACTTGATGGGGGTCTACGTTAGTGTGACAAAAAAATGGGGGGGTCCACAAAAATTTATTTGTTTTTGATTGTGAAGAACCAAAATGTTGGCTTGACTTCACCTATCAATGTAGGCAGATAATATTTTAAGAAGCTAAGCAACTGTTACTTGTAAAAACTTGCATATTCCATGTTTAGTACAACAAGTCGAGACTTGCAAAGCGCAGATGCCGTCTGCGACGCTTGTTCAGATGTGCAAAGTGATGAAATACGACTTGTGGTGTGTGTGCTTGCAATCTTGCATGAACTTGTTTGATTCTTCACCAATATAAATATGAATGCCAAGGATAAATGTTACTCATTTGTTTCCAGAATTTCAAAAAGAAAAGTAATGTGAATCGATGTTAGTGTTTGCCAGTGTCAGAAAAAGTAAGTATTTACTTGCCTATTTGTTATGCAAACTTTTATTTTATGTTGTAATAAGTATATCTGTAATGTTTGCATGTAGTAGGTACGTATTAAAAATTATATACTGAAAAGAGTCATTATTAGATACTTCCATAAAAGAACAGAAAGCTGAGAAAGGTTGAACTTTTTGTCCCTACTTTATTAGCAATTTTTTTTTAACCTGACTGTGTAGTGGTTCACTAAAGGAGAGATATATTATGATTGACCTGCGTGATTGTAAATATTTCAGGTTCCTAATGTTAAATGACTTAATTACATATATTTTCATAAATTGTACATGTCTTTACGTACCTGTAACATGCACCAAAGTAATAAATAAATAATTAAAATCATGGAGTTTTAATATCAAAATATTATTTACAACACTGTACAAAGACGTATTGACGAAATGAGCTCCGATATTGAAAGTTTCTTGTGTAATTATCTGCAAACAACTCATTTTTCTATTCAGCTGGACGAAAAAACTTTACCTGGTAATGAAGCATTATTATTGGCATATGTTTGATTTGTTATGGATGAAGAAATTCATGAAGAGCTACTATACGTGAAAACTTTGGAGACGGACGCTAAAGGTGAATCAATATTTAACGTCCCGAGTGATTTTTTTAAGGAAAAATTTATTCCATTCACAAACGTTATTTCAGTGGCAACAGATGGAGCTCCTGCCATGGTCGGGCGATATCATGGGTTTATAAGCCATCTTAAAAGAATTATACGTCATCCACTGACAACACCTAGTAGCGAAAAATTTGACTGATAGATTGCACCAATCGCTTCAATTTGTGATTACGCAACAGTTAACAAAATAAGAAGCAATGCGTTGAATACACATTTATTTGCACAATTGTGCGATGAAAATGATGAAGACTTCCAACGATTGCTCTTACATATTGAAGTATGCTGGTTTTCGAAAAGTGCATGTTTAACACAATTTTACTCACTTTTTGAATCAATTTTAGAGTTTCTGGAAAGTAAAGATCCAGATTTTAAAATAAAAAAAAAAAAAAAAAAAAAAAAAAAAAGATCCATTTGAAAGCAGACATCACATATTTGACAGATATGTTAAAAAAATTTAATGACATGAACTTACAATTACAAGGGGACAGCCTCAATTTAATAAAAACAAAGGGTGTAATTTCAGCTTTTCCTGGAAAATTGAAATTTATAAAACAAAATATTAGTCGGTGCGAATTTTTCCCAGTTTTCAAACTTGTCACAGGTAGAATGCCTCAATGAGGATATTTAGACATATGTTCAACATTTAATTGTCCTGCATGATGACTTCAAAATCAGATTTGAAGATATTCTGACGATGGAAATACCACCATGGATCATAAATCCATTTTTAGTGTCGTTACAAACCTTTTAACCAAAAAAAAAAAAAAAAAAAAAAAGAACAGATTGAATATCACAGAACGGGGAGATTTGCGATTATTCCTAACAAAACAAAGCCAAATATTGATAATTTGCTGTCAATCCATCAAGTACACTGGTGTGCAAAATTTAAGCAACAATGTAAATTTTAATCAGATAGCCATGAAATTGCAGAAAAGGGGTTCTTGCGATCATTACAATGAACACGCAATTCAACAGAAAGGTCAGGCGTATGCAATGTCAGGAACAAAACGTCACAGGCGACGTGAGCATACGCAAAACGCGTGCGGTTGGCATGCTCAATTCAAGACTACAATGAAAGGAAGGACGGAGGCGCAATGGAAGACATGTGCTGCACGTGCAAGTGAGTTCTTTCATGAAATATGGTTAGAAGGAAATCCCCTGGATGACTTCACACGTGGAAGAATGATCGAAAAGCTGGAGAGGGGGCGTAGTGCGATCAGCGTACCTGAAGAGTTCGGAATCAACAAAAGCGTCATTTCACGCACTCGGAAAGCCTTCCAAACCATAGGTACAGTTGTTAGAAAGGTTGTTGATGGCAGGCCCTTGGAAAATAACTGCAGTGGATGACTAATATATCATCTTGCAGGTGAAAAGAGCCCGAAACCTGTCAACAAGTGCCATAGATCAGCAACTGTGTACAGCAACGGGAAGACAAGTGTCACTGTTTACTGTGTCCAGACGCCTTCACAAAGGTGGCCAATTCGACTGCTGTCCTGAATGCTGCATCCCTTTGAAAGTTGGCTATCAGCACTATCGTTTAGAGCGGTGCAAGGAGCACAAAAACTAGACATCTCATCAATGGAGTCCTGTCCTCTTTACGGATGAAAGTCCTTTTAGTGCCACAAGCGATTCTCAATGCCAGTTGATTTGGAGAGATGTTGAGACATGGTTTTATCCCAGTAACATCAACGAAAGAGACATTATGGTGGTCCTAGAGTTGAGGAGGCATTAAGCTGAACGAGCGGACAGAGCTCCAAGTTTTTGACAAAGGTTCTGTAACCAGAGATCGTTATTGTCAGGAGGTGATCCTTCCCCATGTGTGTCTGTTCCGAGGTGCCATTGGAGCAGACTTCGTTTTTATGGATGACAATGCATGGCCACACAGACTCCTGCTGTTCAGAAGCTATTGAGAAGTGAAGATATCACTCGAATGGATTGGCCAGCACATTCCCCTGATTTAAATCCCATATAACATAAGTGTGTGATGCTTTAGGGAGACGCCTTGAGGCATGATTACATCCTCCGGGGAACACCCAACAACTGAAACAGATGCTGATTGAGGAATGGGCACTCTTATCTCAAGATCTATTACACAATCTGGTGCTGAGTAGGGAGAAATGGTGCGAAGCAACCATTGCAGTAAGTGGAGGGCATATCCCATACTAAGGAACATCTGCTTGCTCTTGTACAAACAATCATGTGTAACGATACTATAAGGTCAAAAAAGATGTTTTGGTTTGATTGCATGCTGTATGCATTGCATTCATTTTTGCGCAATATGCATTCGTCATCATTTAAATACAAAATTCTGTCTCTCATTTCTGAATTGCATGTCTCTCAGATGATTTCTCGTGGAGTTATGGCAAAAAGAACACTTGTTGCTTAAGTTTTGCACACCAGTGTACAGTTTTAATTATATTACTGTTATCATATTACAATGTAATACGATAACAATAATAATTAACTGATATTTGAATAAATACAACACAAAAAAAAAAAATATATATATTCTTTTTCTTTTTATTTTTACCACTTCGAATGGGGAGTTTTCTAAATGAAATTGTTTCTCTAAATGAGAATTGATTGGTTCCTTGTGTTGTGAGTAGATGTCAAAAAAGTAAAGTTGGATGGAATCACTTTTTTGATTGGCCAACTTTACTTTTTTAACACCCACTCACAGCACAATCAATTCTCACTTTTTTCCAAAAACTATTAATTCGTTTTTGAAACTCTGCTGCAATGCAAATTTCTATAGTTAAATCTAATCTTCACATTTTTTGTCGAGTTTTGGGAATATGGTAGAAATGTAGCTGCAGGGTTCCACCGGAACCACCTAAATTTTGAAAGTGGTCTATGAGAAAAAAAGACTGGGAACCTCTGACTTAGTGTATCATCTATAAGGTAATTAACTAAAGTTTATGTAAAAGGGCTTCAATCTACATCAGTCAAATCTTAGAGAAATCTCTGGCATTACATAAAACAATAAAAAAGGGGGTGTCTTAAAGATAAACAGAATTTTGCAGAAGCACCTGAAATGGATGCTAATGACATGCTGAGAGCTCAATGAACACGATGAAGGCACGATCTTCTGATGGAAAAAAAAAAAAATTAAAAAAAAAAAAAAAAAAACTGAAGAAAAATTAGCTATATCAAAGCAAAAATAGTACTGGAGTTGTCAATGTGGTATACTGAGCAAGAATCCACTGTCATTGATATGATGTTCATAAAAAAATGGTATGATTTTGCTTTTAAAAAATGATGGGCATAAAAAAAGGGCCAAAAAAAAGTAACTGATTTATTTTACAAAACAATAATTGTGTACTTTAAATATATATATATTTTCAAACATCATGTCTGTAACTTATTAAAAAAAACTGCTTATTAAAAAAAAGTGATACAGTCAAAAGTCGTTAATTCGGACACCCATAATTCGGAATGATCTATAATCCGGACCTCAAAACTAAAAAACTTTCTGCGCATGCGCCGCGTTGACACATGCGCATAGGCGTTTACGCGTGCGCGTAAGACCTTTTACGACTGCGCATATGAGTGTGCGCAAGTGCAGAATACGTTTTCGCGTGCGCGTTTTATGTATAATGGACGTATAAGCTAAAATTATCTAATTATCTATTTCAGTTAATGTTGATGATTGCGTTGTTCCTTAATTTTCGAATTGGATCCGGCTTATTATTTTTTGCAGACTGTAAGAGCAATTTATAAAAAGTAAGCTTAAATTTTCGATTATATCAAATAGAATTTCCGATATATATTTGTTAATATGTAAAGGATCTAAAGCGAAAGTATGTTTTGAAATCCGAAATCTGTTTATCAATTTCACGCTGCTCGGCGGGGGGGGGGAACGCCGTGCGGCGGGCGCGCGTAATGAAATTGGAAGTTGATCTGTCAACACTATCCTTATCTTCAGGGCAGATGTTTTTATTTTATTTGGCTTATAATTGAAGATCAGATGTTTTTTATTTTATTTGGCTTATAATTCCTTACCAAATGTAGTATTTCATCTCGATATGCTCCGTCTTTGATATGATTTAAAACAAGTTCCTCGTCATTATAATTCGCTTCCGATAGCGAAGAAAAGTAACAGAGGTTATTGAAAACGAAAAAATTTTGATTGACAAATTAGTCGGTGTTCTTGACACAGCAATTATAGGACTTGAACAGCGGAACTTTGTAACTGAACAAGAAATTATGTCTGTTTAATAGAATTAAAGAGAAAGTATTATCACATGAAACGAAGCAAAACTTAAACAACTTACATTGAAAGAAATGTTTATTTAAGTAAACAAATAAATATTAAGATTTTTCTTTTTGCAAATTTTGATACC